GGACAATGGGGACATAAGGACACGGACACCAGGACGTGGGAGTGGGGACATGCATGGGCACGGGGATGGGGACAGGGACACAGGCAGGGGGGACAGGGACAAGGACACCAGACGCTGGTGCATGGGGACAGGGAGGGGGACAGGGAGGCTGAGGACGCCCCCAGGGATGGCAGCACGCGCCTGCCCGGGCAGGGGACACGTGCGCACCCTGGGACAGCGCCGGGGACCCTCTCTGGGGACACGTGTGACAGTGACAGCTGGGGGGGGGACGCGACACCGTGGCCCCGGGGACTCACCAGTAACTTGTTGTACTTTGGTCTCTTCCTGTGGTCCTTGGTGAGGCTGTGGGAGAGGGGAAGGGGGGGGACTGTGGGGACACCCTGGGGACGTGTCCCCAGCCCTGGGGAGGGTGGCTTGTCACCCACCAGTCCCTGACGAAGGCCTGGAAGTCCCCGGAGAAGCCCATGGCGGGGGGCAGCAGCGGGGGGTCCTCCTGCAGCACCTTCGTCAGCACCTCGAAATCCGTCTTGCAGTTCTGGTAGGGGAACTGCCCCGTGGCCAGCTCCACCTGCGGGGACACGGTGGGGACAGCGTTGTCACCCAGGGAAGGGGACACAGGCACAGGGACGTGGCTGGGATGCAGCGGGGGACACGGTGGGTTCGTGGGACGCGGTGGCAGGAAGGGAGGTGGGGGTGGGGGGGACGTGGTGGCATCATGGGGACAGGGTGGGGACACAGTGGGGAAGTGGTGGGACCTGGGGACAGGTTGGGGACACGCTGGGGGCAAGTTGGGGACCTAAGGATGTGGTGGGGAGATGCTGGGGACACAGTGGGGAGCTGAGCACACGTCAGGGACACGTTGGGGACACAGTGGGGACATGGTGGGGAGCTGGGCATGTGTTGGGGACCCAGGGATGTGCTGGGGACATGGTGGGGACACAGTGGGGAAGTGGTGGGACCCGGGGACATGTTTGGGACACGCTGGGGGCAAGTTGGGGACCTAGGGATGTCGTGGGGAGATGGTGGGGACCTGGGGGCGTGGTGGGGACATGTCGGGGACACAGTGGGGACCTGGAGATGTGTTGGGGACATGGTGGGGACACAGTAGGGAAGTGGTGGGACCCGGGGACAGGTTGGGGACACAGTGGGGGCAAGTTGGGGACCTAGGGACGTGGTGGGGACCTGGGGACGTGGTGGGGACACAGTGGGGACACGGTGGGGACCTGGGGATGTGCTGGGGACATGGTGGGGACACAGTGGGGAAG